TAGAAGGATGAGATTCAGAATTTCGCAAGAGTAAACACACACACACACACACACACACACACACACACACACACACACACACACACACACACTTCTTAGTTTCGTGTGGCAGGTTTTAGTAATGCAGTTGTCCACGCCCCTTTTGGCGGGAGGCCGGTTTCCATGGCAGCCCCTCTCCTGGCGTCTCCTCTGTTCTGTGTCAGCTCCTTCTCGGTCTCCTTCCTTGGCTTTTCTTCTTCCGTTTGCCCTCTAACGGTAGGTATCCTCTGGGGTTTCATTTTGGGCTGGCTCTCACGCTGCATTGGGAGGGTCACCTGCCATTGTCGTTACCGCCTGTGCTGATAAGTCCCCAGTCCAGACCTCCAGCTGAGACTCGTTCGTGAATTTTAGACTTGTATCTCCCAGATTCTGTCCCTCACATGGGGACACAGCAGTCCAACAACAACCAAACACTGAGAGTTAGATGCTGGCCCACTCGGCGATCCCCTGGCACCGACACACCTGTGAACGTAGACATAGTACCTCAGACGTTTCCACATGATCCAGAACGTGCTCTTGTCGGGTTGTTTATGAGACCCTAAAAGTGAACATTTAAAACAAAGAGCGCTGGGCCAGTGTCTGGGAACCACAAGCCTCATTTCAGAGACACAGTCTCGTTACTCTTCCTCGTCAGCCCCGCCCGGTCTGGCCTCAGCCTCCCTCCGTCACTCGTCTCATCTCCTGTCACCCTCCCCGCCAGCCTGCGACACCAGGCTGTTCGTCCTTGAACACGTCACGTCACGTTCCCTTTCCTCTCGTCTTTCTTCCTCCTTCCGTTCACTGACTCTTTGGAGACCCAGCGGGGTTATCTAGGACCCACGTACTCCCCTGCACTCATTTTGCAGGGGCGTCTAATATATGTGCCCCATAATCCATCACAGGCTGGGGACATTGGAGCGGTATTGAAACAGGAACACACTTCACTCGATTGGGGTTGATCATCGTGGAGGGGAGGCACAGGGGGACCGAGGCAGACGTCTCTCTCTCCTGTTGCATGCTCGCTCGCCGTGGGTGTAGAGTCCTTGCAGGAAATATCAAGGAAAATTGGTGTCCAAAGGTCCATTCTCACCCAAATCCAATGAATAAGGAATAACTGTTTTTCATAAGGTGACTTGCCCGTACGTCAAACAGAATTCCATATTAGATGTTGTGAGAAATAAAAGGTCACAAATGAAGGTTGTGATCTGGCATTTGGGGCTAAATTATTTTCTTAAATGATAAAACAATAGAGACATCATGTCCTTCGCCACGCATGCCCACTCAGTCTTGGCCCGTTTCCAGGAACTGATGTATAAGGTACAGTTTATCTCATGCTTTACAATAACGCCAAGATTTTAGGAAGTGATGGAGTTTCACGTTGTACTAGCCTTGGCCAGTAACAGAGTCAGCCACAGGTGTCCTTGGTGCTTTACCTGTCCACATCAGGAGAGTTCCTTATTCAGTGTTCCTCTGAATAGTCCAAATCCAAGTAATTTTCTTTCGAACTTGGGGGAAAAAGAATTCTTCATACCCTTAGCAGTGATATTACAATGCATTTAATTCTAGAATTTTGGAACAGCGGTTTCCTGATACTTTAAGATTTCAAAGATGTAATTTCCCGTTTTTACAGATAAGCAGCAAAGATGAAGATTTTTTAGACCTTTCCGTCGACGTGGAACAAAACACATCAATTACTCACTGCTTAAGGTCAGTGCAGAGTCACCCACTGTGACGTTGAATGAGTATGTTCGTTTTAGAAGATTTCTAAGTGAGGACGCGATTTTCCGGCGCAGACAGTGACGTTATCTTGCGTTTTTCGCAGGGGTTTCAGCAACACGGAGACTCTGTGCAGCGAACACAAGTACTACTGCGAAGAGTGCCGCAGCAAGCAGGAAGCACACAAACGGTAACCCGGCGCCGGGCACTTCCGACGCTTCGGCGGCGTTGGCCGGAGCTGGGCTTTTCTGGCAGACAGCGATCTGCGGAAATTTACACCGAGCCAAAATGCTTAATCTGGTCACCGACAGTTAAGACTCATTACGTAATTACTAGATAAATGCTACTCTGGACCCTCCGGCGATGTTCTGCATTTAGCAATTGTTTAATAATCATAAACCAGTACAGGTAAAATCTTCGGCTTTGAAGCTTTCTCGAGTACGTAAACTTTTTTTTCTCTTTCTTTTGGTGAGAGAAAAGGGACTTTTCTCAGCCCCGCCCTAGTTCGGTTCCCACACAAGATTTCGGACCTTCTCTTGGTGCCGTTGTAAGTACAGACGCAAGCTTCGGCGCCAAGGAGTGCGGTTGTCGCCGTCATCCTCGTTATTTTACTTTGCATTTTGAGACAATCTCGGAAAAGTCGCAGGAACAGTACCGAGAAGGCTTTTTGACCCTAGACCGTTTGAAGCGAGGTCGTGGTGTGATCTCCCGTGGTCCTGGACATTTAGTAGCTAACTCCTCCCGACAGGGACGTTTCCCTGTGTACCGTGTCCACCGGGTCAGGAAGGCTGACACAACACTGTCACCGGAGACCTGGCTTTGGCATCACCAGATGTCCCAGTAATGTCCTTTATGGAAAAGAGGGTCCAGTCCAGAGTCACACGTTACGTTTGGGATTCATTTCTCTTTGGTCTTTTACGTTCGGACCCGTCCTTAGTTTTTTGTCGGCCACAGTCATCTTGACACTCTTGGGAATTATAGACGTTCTCGTGCGGAATGGCCTTCTTCAGGCTCGTCTCGCGCTTTCTCGTTAGGTCGCTGGGCGGGGATCTCTGGAAGCAACACTGTGTTCTTGCTGCAGCCCCTTTTGTGGCCCACGGTTTTGGTTTGTGTCCTGTTGGGGTTCCCCAGGACCACTGCCGGATTTGGGGGTCCACCAGGATTCGGCATAGGTAGTCATGTTCACGGCTAAGATCTAGCATGAGGGACGGTGGCAGAGCACAGTCGGCCGAGGGGAGAGCGCGCCAGGCTTCCCAGAGCCACCCCGGTGAAGTCCCACGGGACGCACTTGGTCCCTCCAGCGTTGCATGTGACAGCGGGGCGTGCGGGGAGGATGCCGTCTACCCGGGAAGCTTGTCACACACTCAGCACCCAAGATTTGTACTGCGGGCTGGTCTCGTCGACCCCCTGCCTGGCGCGTGCCAAAACCCCACTCCCAGAGGAAAGCAGGTGTCCCGCATCGACCATGTTGCTTGTTCCCACGACGGAGGCGCGTGGAGCCAGCCTTCTCTCGGGAGGCGGTGGGATTGCTCTCCCTGCCACCAGGAGTCGGCGGCAGACCGTCCTCGCTGCAGGCCTTTGCACGGGCTGTGTGAGGCCTGCCGCGGCCACCGCTTCCTTCCCGTGCCGCTGCCGATGCCGTTGTCTTTGGACCCTCGGTCGAGCGATGTCGCCCGGAATGCTCCACCGCAAGCTAGGCTTTTCCCCATGCGCCACGCATAAGGATTTTGCGTGGAGGTATTTTCAGATTCCGAACACCCCCATTTCTCATCAGACTTTGAGTGTTTTCATTTTTAAAAATCTGCATGGGTTCAAGGGTTCCCGTTCTGTTCAGTGGGTTACGATCCATCCCGTTCCCGTCTCTCCACGTTCCCGTGGCCCCGCCTGGGCCGGCGGGGCCTCCTGCGGGGTGGCTCCTGCTGCTTTTTGACACGACCCGTCACTCGAGCACTTCTTTACTTCCTGGCACAACAGGATTTTCCAGGCTCACCTTGTACCTGGTCCTTTCCTTGCCCTGGCCTTGACATTGGCCGTTTCTCCAAGAGGCCTGGCTCCTTCTGGGGAGAGAACGGTGTTTGATAACCAGGACCCTGGCACAGGTGTGCTCATCGCTGTTGGGACGTCACGATTCCTGAGCCCCCCTAGTAAACAGAGCTAGAGAATGCATGCGATGTGTACACACGTAAATGCTTACCTGCACACAGACACACTCACCTGTGCTTTACTTATCTACTGATTTATCTGTCTAGATCGAAAAACCATGGACGTTCACAGTGATTATGTCCAATTTCAGCCAAGACCATAGGGTTCAGTCTAGTTTTCTCTTTTTCACTCCGAAAGTAAGACTGGGCTCCCCTCCGCTGCTGGGCTCACTCACCGGGTCGGCGCCCCCGCAGGTAGCCCGTCGTGCCCCCTCGTGCACACAGACACAGTTCCCTCTCACGCACACGTGTCACTCACTCTGCCTGGCCCTCCCTGCCTGCCCACACAGATGTCGACGTCACGTGGCCCCATGAACGGTCGGATAGAAGTGTTCCTGAAGGGAAGAGAAAGAACTTAGACTTCTAAACGATTGTATTTTTGCTTTTGTTTTGGACACAGACACTGGGAAAGGAGGTGTTTCGGTGACGGGTTTCTCGGTGTTCCCTTCATTAGTGCAGATGTTTGGAGCCCCTCAGATAAGTTTGATTAGAGACATGGGGGCCGATGTGTTAGATTAATCCTGAAAATGTTGTAGAAAGGACCTAAAATTGTGGGTTAAGGAAGATAGACTCAAGGACTAAATAAAACGTAGCTAAGAGAACTGTCACCCAGAAACTTCACTGGCCGCGTGGAGGAGGGCCCACCTGTGAGCGTGAACTGGTCTTCACACAGAATGTCAGGGACCACACGTGAGAGATTAGGCATTGTCTACAAAGTCTGGCTGTTCGGTCTGAAGATATACGTGAGATTTTATGTATTACTGAATATTAGACCTTTTATTAAATTACATGAGGAATATATGTCCTTTGTACAGGAATTAGAAAATGTAGGTAAATACAAATCACTTAAGCATCATTATTCACGAGAGCACTCTTAACATTTCTGTATAAATGTTTTAGGTGCATGTGTATGTACACGTAATTCTTAAAGCGGAATCAAACTTTAGACAGGTTTGTAACCCTTTTCACTTACTAAATTACAACCATGAAAATAGACTTTTATGTCAGTCTTCAGAGGTGCTGCATAGTATTTTTTGTATGCACGTACCAACCTAAATCTACCAACCCTCTAGATCCAGCAAACAGTTTAGATTTTCTCCATTATGGTGCTTTGGTGAACATGTTTTGTAAGTACACCCGCCCCCCCACACACACACACATATTTTCAGATTCTGCAGTATTTCTGCGGGCTGCATTATGTATAAGTTCATGGAGCGACACCAGTACAGAAATTACGTATCTTCCACTAGGTGGAGTGTCAGCCCTGCTGCTAACTTGCCACGTGATATTAGGCAAGCCATTTAATCTTTTGGGGTCTCATTTGGACTAGTGGACTTCTAAGGTCCCTAATACCCTAAAACTCTGTAGTTTTAGTCTCAGAATAACGTTGTGTTGAATGTACAAATTATAGTTCTTATTAAAGAAACAAAAATCAATTTGACTTAAAAAGGTTTCCATCTGGATGAAGGACAAAAATGACATCATCATCTCAGTGGATACGGAAAAACATTTGACAAAAATTCAACACCCTTTCACGATAAAACACTCCACAAACTAGGAATAGAAGGAACATACGTCGACGTAATGAAACCCGTATGTGAAAAGCCTGCAGCCAACATCGTGCTCAAGACAGTGAAAAACTAAAAGCTTTTCCTCTAAGACCAGGAACCAGACGAGGATGCCCAGTCTCGCCACTTGTGTTTGACAGTATTGGAAGCCCTCGCCAGAGCAGTTAGCCAGAGAAGACCTCCAAGTCGGAAAGGAAGAAGTAAAGCGATCTCTGTTCATAGACGGCATGAGCTTACATACAGAGAATGCTGAAGATCAAACGGAAAAACCTTTTTAGAACTAATAGATTCAGCACACAAAATCAACACTCCAAAATCAGTTGCAGTTCTATACATTAACAGTGAGCAATCTGAAAAAGAAATCAGAAAATCTCATTTACAACAGTGTCAAAAAGAATAAAATGCTTAGGGATAAATTAAAAGACGTGAAAGACATACACCGAGAACTAAAATATTATTGAAAGAAAATTGAGAAACATACAAATAAGTGGAAAGACATCCTGTGCTCATGGATTGGGAGACTTAATAGTATTAAAACGGCCATGTTGCCCAGAGCAAATCAGCAGATTCAGGGCAATCCCAATCAAAATCTCAGTGGCATTTTTTAAAGAAATAGAAAACATTCAAAATTCACATGGCATGGGGAATCTTGACTCTGAATTGCCAGAACAATCGCGAGGTGGGTAAAAAAGAAACAGCCGAAGGCCTCACACCTCTTGACTTCAAAACACGTTACAAAGCTACACTAATCAAAACAGTGTGGTACTGACGTAAACACATACAGACCAACGGAACAGAATAAAGAGCCCAGGCATACACCCTCACTCACATGGTCAGACGGTCACCCTTCAACAGGGTGCCAAGGCTACGCGGTAGGGGAAGAACAGTGTCTTCAACGTGTGGTCCTGGGAAAACTGGACATCCACCTGCGAGAGAAGAAAGTTGGACCCTTCCCTGATACCACGTCGAAAATTAGATAAAAATAGATTAACGACTTAAACACGAGACCTGAAATTATAAAACTCCTAGAACAAAATAGGGGAGAATCTTCATGACATTGAATTTGACAATTTCTTGAATACGACATCAAAAACAGAAGCAGCAGAGCAGAAATAGGCAAATGGGACTATGTCAGATTTTAAAACTTACGCACAGCAAAGGAAGCAAATGTCACGAATGGGTGAAAATATTTGCAGAATATTTATAGAATGGGGGAAACCGTTTGAAAATCAGATATCTGATAAAACGTTAATATCCAAAAAGTATGAAGAACTTTTACAACTCAACAACAAAAAACCAAACTACTCGATTACGAAGCGGGCACAGAACTTGAATAGACATTTCTCCAAAGAAGATCCACCAATGGCTAACGAGCACGTGAAAAGATGCTCAGCATCACTAATCATCAGGGAAACGCAAAT